TCACATTTGATATATTTCTGTGAAGCTAATTACATAGGACTACACAAATCATTTTTCTTATTTAACTAGTGAGCAACTAACATACCCAAGATGTTGTGTCTCTATTATTCAAGTTGGCAGTAGCACAAATAGCTCACACTGGTTTGCATAGTATACTGCTAATTTAGCAATCTAATTACTTAAATAGTAACTTAAGTCTCTTAAATTACTCTTATTCTCCATTTTTGTCTCTTGTTCTCTTTGATAACTCCTCATATCTTTCATTTCTGAGGCTTCCCTTTTCTACATTTTCTTTAAGCCTTTGGGAATTCAGCAGTGGGCATGGACATCTGCTGAGATAGGTTTTTGTTCAAGGTGGAAAGTGCCAGTAGAGTTCAGCATTCAACTTCCTAAAGTGTAACCCCATCAACTGATCATGTGAAGAAGCTGAAACTCCAAGYGAAAGTGTTTTCTCCCCCAGTACTTCCTTCTTAACACATCATCTTGGATTAGTTATAAACCTGCTACTCTTCTACCCACCCCTCTTCACTACTTGCCTTTTCCCTTTTTCTTCTCACCCATCTCTGCCATGAAAATGTGATTGAATATGTCTGAATATGTGATATGAAATTTGCCAATGAAAGTATGATACCTGTATGCATGGGGACTTTATCACCAAACTTTCTAGTCACCCTAGTCTATTTCCCATTCTTTCCTCAATTGCTAATTAAGTTCTCTCCAAATGACCTTAAAAATACATTTCAGGACACAATGTTATGCTAGTTTGGAGGGAGAAAAAGAAGGAAAGCTAAAGTTACAAGAACTCTTCTTTTTCTATCTCCTATCCATGAAGGAGGAAGCTTTAATAAATGAGAGGGAGATGTTCAAAGTCAATATTCTTAATAAATCAACTCACACCATGGGTTGCAGGATTTGTAAGAAAAATAGAACCTTATATAATTCCAATAATTGTCTCACYCATGTTTACATAGTAAGTAGAATAACTAGAACCCCAAAATGCAAAGTGCCAAAGTTAATGGTATTCTGAGTACACCAAGATTCTTTTTATTATCTTCAAACTGGAGAAAATCCCCTCTCTCTCCACCCATAGGAATGTTCTAATAACAAGTGTAAGTGAAGCTCCAGCCTGCCCCCACTTTGATCAGCAGCTTATCTTCTGAATCAGCTTAATCTTTCATCAGACCAYTTCTCTGAAACTGAGGAAAGACCAGAAGCTCATTTTTTAAAAGATATATAAAAAGAGACCTCTTTATAGATAGATAGTGTAGTATACRGGAAAACATTTAGTCTTGGACTAAAAGATCTGTTTTTTAGTCTGGTGTGCATTAGTGTGCAAATTAGTTTAGGATAGAGTAAAGATTTGAGAATTCTAATACCTGACTACTTTTTGCACAAGTTATGGTGAGAATATAAATATTTACACACATATTAACTGAGCATAGTTCACCTATTTGGCATCAGGTTAAATGACAATTTAGAGTAATGATGGTAAATAATGTTAGCYATTATTATGAAGTGTTCCAATATGGTTTTCAATTTTCATTTTCAAACCATCCTGTTAATTCTATGCTTCTATTTTTCTCTTGCTATTCTGCAGCTCCTTTATGTTTGAAGTTATTATTAAAAAGGAATAAGATTTTATATCTAATAAGGTATTCTCTGATTTAGGTACCAGATAGTGCAGTTTTCAGTCCATGTAATGTACTGGCTCATGATGTCTACTGAGAGTTACTTGAAGAAGAATTTATTGAGGAAGTTAGATTTCAAAAAGTCCCCAGGATGGATGGACACACACATACACACACACACACACACACACACACACACACACACATGCCTACACGCCTACTACAATTAAGAAAACACCTCTAATTAACAGATAATTAATCAATCATTAACTATAATTTACAGGAGTCAGTCACTTCCAGTTTTATGGAAAAATTAGTGCACTTTGCCAAAAATCTATTTTTATGGTAAATACTTTTGATTTCTTATAAAATTTCTCTAAAATCTTGAGGTGAAAGTAGCTTGGGTTTTCTCTTTATGCAGATTTAATGACATTATCAAAACTGAATTCAAGTAGTAATTTATAATCAAGACTAATGAAACTATACAAATATATTTTAATTGATATTTTGCAATGTTGTTTTGGCATGGTTACCCACCCATTTTCTCATTCTATTAAAGACTATTTTTATATCTAGTGGAGAGATAGTAGGCATTCACAGTGGGTAGCTCAAAGTGATCATTCTAGTAATCCCAAAGTGAATTTTAAGCCTAATTGTTCTGTTACCAGAACTTTAGCTTTGTAGAATCTCTGAAAAGTCTCAGATGTGTGATATGATGGACCACATATTACCACAAAAACTTTTTTTTTCTGATTTAACAAATATTTCAAACTCCTGCAAAAAGCATCCCCTTTCCCAATCTATTTTAATGCAAAGTTTAGGAAAGGTCACCACCTAGGACTAGGTGCCTGCCATTAAGTCCCCATTCATACATGTCATCTGAATAGCTTCATGATCTCCAATTTTTAAGACATAAAGTGTCCCCTAGGGGGAGRAAAAAAAGTACAGCACTGTTCCACTAATTGCAAACATAACAGCAAGCTAGGATTCCCAAACCCTCCCCAATCCACCACTGCATAACAGGCCAAGGCATTAACAGGGGAGGCTGATTGATAAAGTTAACGCAGAGGTCCAGGATTACAGAGGGCTGTTGTATAACAGCATCACATACTGCGATATCATGTGAATCCGTGCAATAAAGGAACACTATTTGCAAGCAAGTGGAAAACAGTCACAGAAAAGCAGTGAAAAAGATGTGTTAAACATAAGCAGTTGAACAGGGTTCCTGATTTTTATCTGGCCACATAAACCTAAACAATCTTAAAATTGTCCTTAGGCAGTAAGCAGATTTGAGATTTTGTCTTAAAACTCATCCACTTCCACTTAAAACCCATTGCTCTCCACCATGCTTGAAACAGCCAATGAAGAGGCGTGATGGCCACTACTTGCACTGTGCCTTCTCTTTCCTATCTGGACTCTGTCAAGCAGCAGCCCATATTTTCACTAGCTGCTGGAGGCCTCCATCCACTTGCTATCTGTAGCAAACACCAAAAGGACAGCGGCAAACCTGTAAATCCTAACCAAGAGAATAGGTGTCTGGAACAGGTGGCAGGGGCTGCAACCGTGAAGACAGACAGACTGACAACCAGACAGACAGACAGCAGCACCATCAGACACCATCCATTACTTCTAGTCTCAGAAGAGGGGAAGCCTGCAGCACCAGGGATATCATTCTTCCACTAGGGACAGGCAGCAGATTAATGAGGGTTCTGCCTCCCTCAATCCGGCAGGCTTAAAGTATTTGTTTTTTGGATGAGAAGGAGCAGAGAATTCAGAAACCTGCTGCTCTTTATAGAATAGGCCAGCTCCGGCCTTCTGAGTTAACAGCTTTTTTTCCTGAGTCTATATGAAAGGGCAGGAATGACTGGATTTCTACTATTTTGCTGTGGCCTGACTCCCACATCTCTCCTTCAATATATCCCTCCCCACTCGAGGTGGCAGTTGCACTGGCTGGGGACCCATCCATCTGTGAATGCAGCCTCCCTCCATTCCTTTCCTTTGAGGCATTACTGCACAGAGGGGAAGCAGCATCCTTGGCAGCATCTTCTCTTTAAGAGACAATCCTAGGAGCTGGACGAGAGGCCAAGCTGGGTGTACTCTGTGCCTGGGTGACACCCCTGCTCCCTACCTACCCTTCTTTACAATCAGCCAACTCCAGATGCAACAGGTTCCCTTTGGTTCTTCATGTCAAATTGCCTGCCCCCAGATACATCTTTTAGCTAAGCAGAGGACACTAAAAAAAAATCAGTCCCAGTCAGGGTCTCTAAATTCCCCTAGCCCTGAATGTAAAACTTTCCTGAATGCATGCAGACTTCCCAAGGGAAGGCAGAATTAAGTCCCTTTCAGCTCCACTCTAGGGGTGATTCTAAGGAGCCAGGAAAGCCCAATCTCTATGCCAGTACCTTGTAAGCAGCCTTGTCTGAGGCCAGCAGCAGCAGACAGTGTCACACACTCCTGCACCACTAGAAACCTCCCCAGGAAAATGGGGCACCAGGCAGAGATCCCCTGAAGGGTTCACAGGTTCTAAAGAAGGCAGGATATGTACAAATATTCAACCCCTTATTGGGCTGCTTCCTTCAGGAATTGATCAGGCTCCAGAGGTCTCTTGGAAACCAGTAATGGGGAATCTTTATTTTATTCAGGCCAGAGTCCCTGTCAGCTTCTGGCATTATTGAAAACTTTGTGTTGCCAATGGCAATATATATAGGTAAGAAAATTTGTCTTCACACAGGTAGTCTGTGTAGAATGAATAAAAGGTTAAAGAGAAGCTGGGGAGCAGGTTACCAAAGATGGCAACTGCCCAAAACAAGACCCAACCTTGATCTGTGAAATGAATGAGTAGCAAAATGAACACTAAAAATAAGCATTTTTATTATATAAATACCTGCACCCTTTTCTGGGGTAACTCTGACCTGCTAAACAACTCCAAAAAAGAAGAGGAGCTGTCCTCAGCACCTCAGCACCTCTTCATCCCACCCCACCCCCTTCCTTCTTCATCCTCTGGCCCCTAACCTGCTCCCAATCCAGGGCCCTTCCACTTAGGTGGGATCAGTTCCTCTCAGCTTCTGCATATCCCACTACCAAGGTGGCCCCTGTTCACCCAATCTTCCTGGGCACCAGTCCCAAGCCATCCTCTCCCAGCTCCTAGGTTCCTGCCTYAGTCGCTTTCTCCCCTTCCTCGGGTCCCCCTAACCTCTTCCCTGGTCAAGYCAGGGCCCCTGGCCTCCAGACTGACACCTCCGCCCAGCACCCAGCACCCTCGCCCGCCCCTCCCCCACACTCAGCCGAGAGGACTGGGTGAGTGAGTGGTGAATGGACGGATGGAGGCACAGAGGCACGGAGGGATGGATGGCGCGGCTGGGGGTGGCTTACTTGAGCATGGCTTCTTCTTTTTCCTCCTCTTCCTTCTGCCGGTCCATCACTGCCATGATAATGTTCCTCTCTTCCTCGGTCAGGTGGCTCAGGTCGGGCAGCTCTGGCATGGGGGGAGGCACCGTGGGTGGGCGAGGACCGCGGGGCCCCACGGTCGAGGACATTTTCGTGGCCTGCCCGCCCCCTCCGCTCGCTCTCTCGCTCTCACCTTTCGGATTCACGCCCAGCAGCTGCGCCCCTGCTTTCCCCTCACAGCGGAGCCCTCCCGGCGGCGGCGGCAGGAGGAGGAGCAGCGGCAGCGGCAGYGGCAGCAGCAGAGCCGGGGAGAGCGAGAACCCAGTCTTTCATGGTTGTTTGCATCCACCCAGCCCCGGATGCTGCCTTTGTTTTGGTCGCCCTGGCGAGGCTAGGGGCCRCCCGGCCGCCTCCCGCAGCCCAACCTCGGCCGGCGGGGGCGGGCAGGCGGAGGCGCGGCGGGCGCGGCGAGGGGGCGAGGGCTCCGCCAGGCTCCGCCGATCCGGGCGTCTCCGGCGGGGCTCGCGGGGCGGGGGCGGGGCTGGGGCTGGGGCTGGGGCTGGGACGGCCGCCGCCGAGGCTGCTCTCAGGCTCCACTGCCTCCAGTTTGGGGCTGCGGGAGGGAGAGGGAGTTTGGGTGTCAGTTAGGCGGAGTCTCGGAGGCTTTGCTCCCGGGTGATGCCGCTGCTCTCGCAGACATAGCTGCCAGCCACTCAGTCCCGGTGCCGCTCCGCCCACCGGCACCCACCCGCCCTCTCCCCAAGTCCGAGCCACGCGTGCCCCAGCAGCTCCCCCCACGCTCGCCAACGTGMACACCACCTCGCTCTATCCCCAGGTACCCCTCACCCATGAGTCATCATCCCTTGTCTTTCATCCTGCCCAGCCCTATTTTTTCCATGGGTTGCATTAATCATCATCATCCTCGCTACCATCTTCATCAGAGAACATTAATATTATTTGAGCACCCCCCGTGTTCCGAATCGCAGAATGGAACACCCTCTGGACGCATTTTTTTTTCTCTTCCTTCCACCATATCTTTCTCATTTACTAGTCAAGTGTTTACAGCCACAGCAAACGTGATTTTCTAGATAATTTTGGTACATACACACATACATACACCTCCAACAGCCTGGGTTTTATGAGTTTATTGTACTTTAGGATGCAGTGTCTTTCTTAACCCATTCTCACTAGGACTCTTTTGCACTGTATCCTAATTTCACCTGAAGATGCCCCACAACATCATAACTCTAATATCCCATCTGGTGCTCAGGTTAGCCCCATCACAACGCATAACTGCAACTTCTTTGATGCTTGTACATGGATTATCTACTCTAATTCCTTTAATGATGCTCACTATCATCTCGTACTCACTTCTGAGCCTCGGTAGGTCCTTCTCAAGAAACAATGATCCCAGATAAGAAAAACACCCAACCGTATTCTTTTGTATTTAAGAAGCTTCTGTTCAATGCCTGGCACAGTGATAGGCATTATAATGGTATGAGGTCTTTTTGCTTTGATAAAGGCAAAATGAATAGGCAACCCTTTCAAAATAGGTAATGTTATCATCTTTGAAACGTGGAGACTGAATTTTGTTAATATAATTATTTTAAAAAAGTCAATGAGAAAGGTTCAAATTCAACAATTTTCTTGTGAGGATCTCTTAGCAATGGTGATGAGAGAACTGAGATGTTTCCTCTCCCAGGAATTCTCTTTATAGTTCCAGAAGGGAGTTAGTAGCCCTAGTTTCTTGTTGTTGTTTTCTGAGGCAAATAACTTTGTTAAAAAATGATGATAATAATGAGAAATTTATGAATAAAATCTTCAAGTTTAAGGAACTCGAAAGTTTAGTTGAACTTCCTTTAAATGCAGGAGTTTCTTTGATATAGACACATCTATCTTAATACTGTTGGTAATGGAAAGCTTATTACCTCTTAATTTCATTCCATTTCTAAATCCCTCTTCTAACTGAAACTCTTCCTCTTTTAGAAACAATAATCAATTCATCTTCATTCTTCTCCAGAGTAAACTTTACAACTTTATCCAGCTGGTTAAATGTATAGTGGATTTCAAGGACTGGTCATTCTTGTCTGGTTCTGGGCACTTCCAAATTTTTTCTCTAGCCTTACAAAACAGCCATCAAAAATCCACAGAACCAAGAAAAATGCTTGATTTTTAGTAAGTGCTCATCATTATTTTTATTTACAAAACTTAATATTAGCCTAACTTTTTGGTGGTCATGTCACTTATGAAAATGTCATAGAAATAAACATATAGTACACTAAAATTTCCAGTTATTTTTTCATAAGTGCTTCAATCAAGATTTTCTCTGTTCTCTAATTAAGCAATTGATGAAAACACTCCACTCAGCATCTTTTAATTTTTTAAAAATTGCACTTGCCTTCCTCAGTCCAATGTATATTCAGGGAGGAAAAACACTGAGTTGAAATTCTGGCTCTGCCCATGATTTTATGATTTTGGCCAGAACACTTAAGTTTTCTACACCTCTGTTTTTTCATCTATGAAATGGGAATGATATCCCTTTCAAAATAAAAAGAGATTAAATAAGAAGTTTCTAACTGTGTGTAAAACACTTTGTAGTGCTTTTTTTCCCCCTTATTTCTGACTCTAAGAATTGTGTTGGGGCATTTCTCAATTATTAGCACCCAGAAAGTAGTAGAAATGTAGACAGTATATTCATTCTGCCAGATGCCTGGCTCTCTGGTAGTCAATGTGGAAATGAAAACATGAGACAGATGAAACCTTTGTTCTCAAGAGGTTTACAATCAGATTGATTCCCATGAAATTCTTCTAAAACAAAACTAAAGGAACTATAAAGACTTAGTATACATTAGAACTGAGTAAACCCCTTGAAGGCAAGGACCTAATGAACAATTAACAGGGCTGCTTTAATTTTCTTTGATTGTCATAATATTATAAGTACCACAGATGGGGTGGTTTATCTAACAAATGTATTTTCTCAGAGTTCTAGATTGTAACAATTCAAGATCAAGGTAACAACAGGTTTGATTTCTCCTGAGGCCTCTCTATTAGGCTTGCAGATGTTCCCTTCCTGGTGTGTCCTCACATGACCTTTCCTGTGTGCATGAGGAAACATAGTATCTCCCCCTTTACTTATAAGGACTCCAGTCCTGTAGACAAGGACCTCACCTTTATAACCTCATTTAACCTTATATRCTTCTTTGTTTTGGATTCCATGTCCAAATACAGTCATATTCCAAGCATTGGCAGTTAAGAMTTCAATATATGAATTTTTTGTGAAACTAATGGTTTCCTTTTATTAGAGTTACTTTGTGGGGTAATTATGTACATGCATTATCTGTATGACAATGAAAAGAAATCTATTTCTCAATAAGTTTATACCTACTTCCCTGGGCTATGTACACACACAAATGTAATATCATAAATGAATAAATGAATAAATGAATATGTGCTGATTATAAATTAGTGGATGCCTTGGTACAGACTATCAGTGTTTCCCCTTCTGTCAGAAATCTCTCTTGTTTCTTTAGGGATTCAAAACCAATTTCTAAAACCCAAGAAAGGAGTTTTTACAAATTTGCCTTCAGAAAATTGCCTGCACTTAGAAAAGCATATACCAAAGTATAGCTCCTGGAGATACTCTCCAAAAACTGTTCAGTGAACTTGGGAAAATGTGCACAATACCTTTCTCCTAGAAACTCTCAAGACACATCAACAAATAAAAAGTGCTAAGAAACAATCATTTACTGCAGTAAAGGAATCTGTTTTATGTGACTTAGTCTCCTCTTTCCCAAATGTATTGGACCACAGAACTATGTTTTGGAGGGAAACATGCCTCTGACAAGTTTTGGGGAAAAACATGACAAACAGGCCTAATATCCAAAGATGTTAACTAGAGGGACTGGAAACTTCTAATGAAATTCTGCTTGCTTGATCAATGATGTTAGTAGGAAAAAATTATCTCTATTCATATGTATCAAATGCCTCAAAAATCAACATTCACATAATGTTTAGGACACTAGTCAGAAACTATGACATAGACAAAGTACCTAACAGGTACGATTTTTAGTTCCTCTTATTTCCACTGACACTCTCAAATCATCATTTCTCAAAATAATTCTAAAATAGGACACCAGTATAACCTTTTAATTTAATTTAATATCTGAGGTCATAACTGTAGAGTACTGCTGAAAAGCTATCAGGTGCAAATTCTCACGCTACAATTTGGTAGCAATAGTAGGYTGAATGTTATCCCTCCTAAAATGTGGAAAAAGGAAAACTGAAATTGTGACTTTATTTGGGAAAGGATCTTTACAGATGAAAAGAGGTCATGTTGGATTAAGGCAGGCCATAAACCCAATGAGTGGTTTCCTTATAAAAGGAGAGGACACAGACTCACAGAGAAGAAGGCAATATGTGAAAACACAGAGAAAGATGCATGGGGAGAAAAATAGAGGCWGCTGGAGTTGTGCTGCCATAAGTCTAGCAATGCCAAGTGCCATCAAAAACCAAAGAAGTAAGATATGGCTAACCCCTAGACTTCAGAGAGAGCATGGCCTGGGTGATTTTTTTAACCTAGTTCCTACAACTATAAGAGAATAAATTTCTGTTGTTTCAAGCCATRTGGTTTGTGGTACTAGTAGCCCTAGGAAATTAATACAAGAGATATATCAGTTTGGGTGAATTAGTAAACTTCCCKGGGACTTCTTTTGCTTGTCTATAAAATAGATAGAATAATATCTATCAGAATTTAAATAAGAATGAAATATCATGAATATTTGCACAGTACCTGGCACATGAAAAGAACTCCATTCATTCAGTATGTAYGTATTTTTTACTGGGCACCTGCTTTGTGCTGGGTGCTAAGATTATGGTAGGGAGAAAATCATATTAAAGTAATGGCCCTGATGAGAATTGCCATACTATGGCCAGTAAGACCAGTGCAGTCAACTGCCTGTTTTGTTTTTTGATTTTTTGAAAATAGACTATKTGTTGCTAAAAGCTTAAAGTATTTACTATCTGACTCTTTAGAGGAAAAAAAATAGTGTGTCAATTCTTGCTCTAGATGTTACACTGCTGTTGGAGGAGATAGACATAAATAACACTCAAACATTAGTGTATGGTAATTACTCTAGAAAATAACTTTTCA